AGCCCCCGGAGGGAGCTGCTGTTAACTGCACTGCTCCTAGTGATCCTTTTTTTTATCGTAGCCCCCCCCCCCCTTTAATAACAAAAGACTTAAAACCATCAAAAGTTAATATCTGAGACTTAATTGATATCCAGTAGTTGTACTGAACAGTATTCACAACTGTTATCTTGTGTATTCTCAGAAATGTATGAAGTTAATCTACATAAATAGACCTTTCCTTTGGGTTAGTCAATGAAACATTTTCTTCCCCCATTCAGATTAGTTCTTTTGGGGATTAAACACTTGGAGAGGAAAATGACATCGATCATCAAGTTGACCACGCTTTCAGGGGTGCAGGAGGAATCTGCCCTTTGCTATCTGTTACAAGTAGATGAATTTCGTTTTCTTTTGGACTGTGGCTGGGATGAAAACTTTTCTATGGATATTATTGATTCTCTGAGAAAGTAAGTAGTTCAGTTCATACTTTTTTTTTTAATAAGTCTTGTCCTTTTCTGAAAGTTTTCAGAATGCTGTGCAATGGTATGTGTATGGTGATGATAAATCCAAAATTGTTCCTTTTTTTTTTTCTAAGTATGTTTTATATGAAGGGAATTATGCTGCTGAAACGTTTCCAGTAAAAACTTGGGTTTTTTTCTTGTGAGTCTAATGAGTTACATTTAGTAACTGTAATTCTCAAATTGTTCTGTGTTTGTTTTGGCTTGGATGTTTTGTGGTTTTTTTCATAAACATGACACAGAGCAGAGTTTATGGGAGACTGACCTCGACTCTAAACTAATTTAGAATGGTTAACTAAGTTTTAAATGAAAGAATCCTGAGTGTATGTAGGCTGAATACAAAGTGGTTCAACTCTTGCCTCTTGTTTCAAGTTGAATAGACTGTCAGTCAGGAAAACAGCTTTTGTTAGTTATCCCAGCCCTGCAAAGAAATAAACCTGTCTAGACTTTAATGCTGAACTTCTGCAGGTTTACAGCAAGGAGCTTTGCTGATGCAAGCAAGCATTGATTACAAGGTTAGGACTGAAACATGGAAATTCCTGAAAGAAACTAAGCTTTGTGATGCTATTTTTATAGATTCATTTTTCTAGCATTGACACGCTTGTAGTATTTGAATTCTTTTCACTGAGGATTATTATGTACTAAGGATAATATATAAAATTTTTCAAGTGTCTTATCTGAGAGGCAATTAGATAAAAATCCCCTTTTTGATAACAGCCATCAAGAAGAATGTGTGTGCCCCAGTTACTATGTGAGGGAACAAACAACTTTAAGCCCAACTTGTATTTTCACCTGTTGCGTATGTTTCATGCTGTCAAGTTTTTCAGTTATGATAGGTAGTAAGTTTTTAGTCTGAGTTCTTATTTTATGCAACACTTGGCAAGAAAAAAACCTTCTGTTTTTAAAATGAATAAAACACAAAAAACTTATGTGCCATTTTTCTTAAATGATATATTTGACCTTTTCTGTTCTTAGAGAAATATATTTTGATTTGATCCTTATCAATTTAAGGATTGTTGTGTCTTTGGTCCTGTAACTTGGTCTTTCTCATCAGAAGAAAAGTTGTCTGTTTTAGGTTTTTAGATGTATAAACAATTTGTAGCATGTCTGCACTGATAATATTTTTGGCCCCTTAGTTAATGTACTTTCTGGTGTCCAAGTATGTATTAAGGTCTTTCTAATCAAGAATTTGATGTAAAACTTCTGCCTTCCAGATCTTGAAATTATGTTTTCAGAAGTCACTTGCATTTTTAAGTACTTGAACATTTGGAAATGCCTGTAACTTTTAATTATGATTTTTAAAACCTTGTTCTAAATCTGGAAGGATTTAAGTTCTCTTGTTTGGCATTTGGACTGTGTATGTATTCTCAAAGTAGCCATAATAGGGAGTATATAACACCATACAGAACTCTTTTCACCAGCTTCTGTTGTCCCTCTTTTTGTAGACATGTGCACCAGGTTGATGCTGTTCTTCTTTCTCATCCTGACCCCCTACACCTTGGTGCTCTTCCATATGCAGTTGGAAAAATGGGGTTGAATTGTGCTATTTATGCAACTATTCCTGTATATAAAATGGGACAGATGTTTATGTATGATCTCTACCAGGTATATTTAAGTTGATACTTTCATACACAACATCTTTGATATGGTAGAGTGCTCAGGTTCTTGAATGCTCTATACTTCTTATTTGTTTTAGTCCCGCCATAACACTGAAGATTTCACACTCTTTACATTGGATGATGTAGATGCAGCCTTTGATAAGATACAACAGCTGAAGTTTTCTCAGATTGTGAACTTGAAAGGTAAAGTTGTCACCAAAGTTTCAATAAATGACTTTTAGTGAAAGGCAACAGTGTCATTAAGAGTTAAAGTAACTTTTTTTTTAAAGGGAGTAAGTTTTGAAATGTGCATTTTGCAGGGCTGATATTCAGTAGCCCTGTGTCAGTCTGTGTCAGGTGAACGTTTGCCTCAGTAATTTTATGTGGAAATGGGTAGAATTTCCACTTAATGAGGAGGAGGTCATGCCAAAGTATATTTAGACATTGTTTCTTTTTTGTGTTTTTTGTAACTTTTCTTGGAATTTGCTCATGTCTCTCAAAAGCATTTACTCATATCTAGTGGTAG